GATACACGTTTCTATGAATGGCCATTCGGCCATATGGGGGACGCGCACACGCCACTGTTTCATGCATCCGCATTGGCCCAGATGCTTCGCTCTTCTCCCTCGTCCCCCGCCTCCTCCCTCCCCTCCCTCCTGCTTCCGCCGGTGCTTTTTCACTTCTGCCCCATGGTCGAGGTTCTAAGCAGCGGATGTTCGGGCCAGCCTTTTTGACAGCCACGCGGCCCGCTCCCTCCTCGTCCTCGTCCTTCTCCCCCTTCCTCCCTGAATGTGGTGACGTTTGCCCGGCCGGCCAATTTACAGCCCTGCCGCAAGCGAGTCGTATGTTGGGGCGGTTATAGCCCCCTTGAGGGGAAGCGGAATTGACGCTCAATCGAACGTGTCTGGCCCCTGGGCGGGCATCGGGTGCTGGGTTCGCTGGTGAGGTAAAACAATGCGCCCTGCGCCACCCTGCACAGCGCTTCGTGGCCCCATACGGAGCTCCACCGAATGCCCCAGTGGCTGTGCCCGCATGCGTCCCGCGACGCCCAGTATGGCGCTTCGTGGCCTGATAGGGAGCTCCGTCGAAGGCGCAATGACTGTGACCACGTGCGTCCCGTGCAAGCCAGCGCGGCGTTTCGTGGCCCCGTAGGGAGCTCCACCGAAGGCCCCAATGGCTGGGATCACATGCGTCGTCGTCGCCCAGTACAGCGCTTCGTGGCCCCATAGGGAGCTCTACTGGGGGCCCTATGCGTCTCCCCCCGCCCATTTCGGCACACAGTTCACGCGCTTCGTGGCCCTATCGGGAGCTCCACCGAAGGCCTTAGTGGCGACGCTCACATGCGCCCCCCCCCACCCAGTCATACCCCTCACGCGTTTCGTGGCCCCATAGGGAGCTCCACCTAAGGCCCCAGTGGCAGGGTTCGCATGGCGGGCCCGCTCCATCTCGGCACGCCCCGCACACGCTTCGTGGCCCCATATGGAGCGTCACCGAAGGCCCCAATGGCAGAGCCCGCGTGCTGTCCCGCCCCATTTCGGCACGCCCTGTGCACGCTTCGTGGCCCCATGAGGAGATCGACGGAAGGCGATGCCCACAACGCCGATACTCACAACCGCACATGGTTGGACACTTCGCCGAGATAGTTTACCTGGTGTTGCGCCGACCGGAATTAAACATGAATTACCCTTGCGGCGTACCCAACCCCTGCGCAATGCGGGGCATGAGTAGATTGGGGTACGTTCTGCGGAGGTGGTGGCGTGACATGGGCGCATCAATTTCTGCGAGCGGCATTCGTGAGGTTCGCAGCCCCCCAGGGATTCCGAGGTCCCGTTCAGATCTGCGTGGTGCCGCACTCCGTTGGACCCGCCACCAGCCGTCGAATGTAGCGACGGCTTTGCAGATCGCAGCCTCCCAAGGACGCCGAGATCCCGCTGAGATCTGCGCTGTGCCTCATTCCGCTGGACCCGCCCGCAACCCTTGAAAGTGGCGACGGTTTCGCAGATCGCAGTCCCCCAGGGACGGCGAGGTCTCGCTCAGATCTGCGCTCACTTCGCTAGACCCACCAGCAGCCTTCGAAAGTGGTGACAGTTTTGCAGATCGCTATGCTGGCCCCCCAAGCAGCCTTCGAAAGTGACGACAGTTTCGCAAATCGCGGCCGCCCAGGGATGGCGAGGTCTAATTTGGGTCTGCGGCGGCTACCCACTATGCTGGCCCCCCAAGCAGCCCTCGAGAGTGGCGACAGTTTCGCAAATCGCAGCCCCCCAGGGATGGCGCCCCCCCCAGCAGCCCTCGAGAGCGTCGACCGTTTCGCAAATCGCAGCCCCCCCCCCCCAGGGATGGCGAGGTCTAATTTCGGTCTGCGGCGGCTACCCACCATGCTGGTCCCCCGAGCAGCCCTTGAAAGTGGCGACAGGTTCGCAAATCGTACCCCCCCTTGGATGGCGAGGTCTAATGTTGGTTTGCGGCGGCTACCACCCACTATGCTGGCCCCCCAAGCAGCCTTCGAAAGTGGCGATCAGTTCGCAAATCGCAGCCCCCCAGAGATGGCGAGGTCTAATTTGGATCTGCGGCGGCTACCAATCAATTATGTTGGCCCGCCAAGCAGCCTTCGAAAGTGACGACAGTTTCGCAAATCGCAGCCCCCCAGGGATGGACAGGTCTAATTTGGGTTTGGGGCGGCTACCCACTATGCTGACCCCCCAGGCAGCCCTCGAAAGTGGCGACAGGTTCGCAGATCGCAGCCCCCCAGGGATGGCGAGGTCTAACTTGGGTCTGCGGCGGCTACCCTCTATGCTGGCCCCCCCAAGCAGCCCTTGAAAGTGGCGATAGTTTTGCAAATCGCAGCCCCCAGGGATGGCGAGGTCTATTTTTGGTTTCGGCGTCTACCCACTATGCTGGCCCCCCAAGCAGCCCCCGAAAAAGGCGACAGTTTCGCAAATCGCAGCCCCCCCTTGGATGGCGCTCCCCAGCAGCCCTCGAGAGCGTCGACAGTTTCGCAAATCGCAGCCCCCCCCCCCAACCCCAAGGGATGGCGAGGTCTAATTTGGGTCTGCGGCAGCTACCCACTATGCTGGCCCGCCAAGCAGCCTTCGAAAGTGACGACAGTTTCGCAAATCGCAGCCCCCCCTTGGATGGCGAGGTCTAATTTTGGTTTGCCGCGGCTACCACCCACTATGCTGCCCCCCCAAGCAGCCTTCGAAAGTGGTGACAGTTTTTTGTGCAGATTGCTATGCTGGCCCCCCAAGTAGCCCTCGAAAATGGCGACAGTTTCGCAAATCGCGGCCGCCCATGGATGGCGAGGTCTAATTTGGGTCTGCGGCGGCTACCCACTATGCTGGCCCCCCCCAGCAGCCCTTGAAAGTGGCGACGGTTTCGCAGATCGCCTTTCCCCAGGCAAGATGCACACACAAGAGGTACCGCAGGCAAGATGCACACACAAGAGGTACACACAAGGCAAGAGGAGGCAAGATGGAAGCGGAAGGAAGGACGCGCGCAGTGCTCTATTCAAAACGAATGCCCAACCAAGGAGGGTTGGGAAAAACAGCGTCTCGCCGGAGACATCATCAACATCTGAATGCGCCGGCCCTGCGCGACTTCTTTACTTCTCGCAACGAGAGGTTCGCTGGATCTGCGCAAGCTGAGGCCCGGCACGAGGCTGACCCACTGAAAGAGAACCCTGGGCCCCCTTTCTTTTAATTCACCAGCCCTGCGCGACTTCTTTATTTCTCGCAACGAGAGGTTCGCTGGATCTGCGCAAGTTGAGGCCCGGCACGAGGCTGACCCACTGCAAGAGAGCCCTGGGCCCAGGCCCTTTCCAGGAAATGGTCCTCCTCCTCCTCCTCCTCCTCCTCTCCTCCTCCTCCTCCTCCTCCTCCTCCTCCTCCTCCCCCTCCCCCTCCTCCCTCCTCCTCCTCCTCCCCTCCTCCTCCTCCTCCTCCTCCTCCTCTCCTCCTCCTCCTCCTCCTCCTCCTCCTCCTCCTCCTCCTCTCCTCCTCCTCCTCCTCCTCCTCCTCCCCCTCCTCCTCCTCCTCCTCCTCCTCCTCTCCCCCAACTCCGCGGGCCCCCGAGCGTCCCAGGGCCGGCGCGCCGGGTGCTGAGGCCGCCCTGGGCTGTCCTCGGGCCGCTTTTCGCTCGGGCGTGCATTTTTCGTTCGGCGAGGAGCATCGAGGAGCATCCCCTCCTCCTCCTCCCTCCTCCCTCCTCCTCCTCCTCCTCCTCCTCCTCCTCCTCCTCCTCCTCCTCCTCTCCTCCTCCTCCTCATCCTCCTCCTCCTCCCTCCCCTCCCCCTCCCTCCTCCTCCTCCTCCTCCTCCTCCTCCTCCTCCTCCTCCTCCTTCTCCTCCTCCTCCTCCTCCCCAACTCCGCGCCCCCGAGCGTCCCAGGGGCGGCGCGCGGGGGCGAGGCCGCCCTGGGCTCTCCTCGGGCACGCCTGGCATCGCTCGGGCGTGTGCATCTTTGCTTTCGGCGAGGACCATCGAGGAGCCTCCCCTCCTCCTCCTCCTCCTCCTCCTCCTCCTCCTCCTCATCCATCCCCTCCTCCTCCATCCCCCTCCTTCTCCTCCCCCCTCTCTCCTCCTCCTCCTCCTCCTCCTCCTCCTCCTCCTCCTCCTCCTCCTCCTCCTCCTCCTCATCCATCCCCTCCTCCTCCATCCCCTCCTCCTTCTCCTCCCCCTCCTCCTCCTCCTCCTCCTCCTCCTCCTCCTCCTCCTCCTCCTCCATCACCTCCTCCTCCTCCTCCTCCTCCTCCCCAAGCCAGGGCCGGCGCGCTGGGGTGCCGAGGCCGCCCTAGGCTGTCCTCGGGGCTTGGCATCGCTCGGGCGTGTGCATCTTTGCTTTCGGCGAGGACCATCGAGGACCATCGAGGACCATCGAGGAGCATTTTGCCTTCGGCGAGGACGATCGAAAGGGCTATCAAGCCTGCTCGGATGCTGATCTGTTTTGTGTGCCAAGCGCAGGTAGCTTTCGCCCTCCAGGGGCTCTTCAGCCGAAATGGCACTGCACAGAAGCATCTCGCATGGAACTGCACAGAAGCATCTGGCACTGCACAGACGAACCAACAACACACACCCATACCCATAGGGGGATCGGAGAGGGCTATGGGTGCGTGTTGTCGGATGGGGGTCCCCGCTCGAACGGGAGCGTTCCCGAGGGTCCGAGAACCCGCACCCATACCCATAGCCTGTCCTCCTCCCAACGACCCCCCTATGGGTATGGGTGTGTGTTGTTCGTTCGTCAATCCTTGATCATTTCGCGAAAAAACGCGTACGAAATCGAAAAAAGCACAGGAAATGGACGTCCGAGCGATGGCCAGGGGGTGCCTTGAGGCCAGCCTGGGCTGCCTGTATCTCTCCTCGTCCTTATCCTGCTGCTTCGTTCGTTGTCGTTGTGGCCCAAGGCGGTCCAATCCTGTTGCGCCGCTCGCTGGGAGGCCTGCGGCAGTCTGCGGCCCGGCCCTTTCCCAGCAGCCCAAGCGCTCTGGACCTCCTTTCCGTTTTCCTTTGCAGCATCGCTCGCGGAACCTGGGCACCATGGGCAGCACTGTTACGAAGAGCCGGGCGGGAACGTCTTCAGGCACGGTTTCAAGCAATAAGCCCGCCACACGTGAGTCCGTGACCGACTTGGAGAAAGTAGAGAAGATGTCTGGTAAAATTGCAGTCTCAGGCCGATACCACAGGCCCCCCAAGAAAATGTCAGAAGACTATGTCGTACAGGAAGCGGTGTTGGGCTCGGGCCTGAATGGAGAAGTGAAAATTGCAGTGAGCAGGCACAATCCCTCCAGTCAAAAGTACGCCATGAAACCTTTAAAGCTTGCAAGCATAGCACCCGAAGATCGGAGCATGTTGGTGTCGGAGGTAGAGGTGTTCTTGTCATTGGATCACCCTCACGTTACTCGGCTTTATGACGTTTACGAAGAGCCTGAGATGCTGTATCTGATCATGGAATGCATGGAGGGTGGCGAGTTGTTCGACCGCATAGTCAAGCTAAAGACTTTCAGGGAACAGGATGCTGCAGAGACAGTTAACCAGATGCTGCTCGCAGTGAACTACCTTCACAGCCACGGCATGGTCCATCGGGATTTGAAGTTAGAAAATTTCTTGTACGATAAGAAGGGCAGTAATCACATCAAGCTGATTGATTTTGGCTTCAGCAAGGTGTGGGACCCTAGCGCCAAGATGCATGCGAGCTGTGGGACGCTGTCATATGTAGCTCCAGAAGTGCTACAGTGCAGCTACACAAACAAGTGTGATCTATGGAGCCTAGGAGTCATCACCTTCATACTGCTAGCTGGCTACATGCCCTTCGCGGGCTCAGACGCACAACAGCGCCAGAACATCAAAGCTGGCAACTATAAAATGAAGCCAGAGCGCTGGGTCAAGGTCGGGTGGGTGGTAATGGGGGTTGACCCACATGGAGGGTGAGTAATAAGGCCCTGAAGGGACCCTTTAGGGTCCCTTTTGGACACCAGCTGGCTCCAAACGGGCCCTAGAGGGCCCCTTGAGGGCCCTTTGCTTCTCCTCCCCTTTGGGTCACCCTCTCCCATTATCACCCGCCCGACAAGGTGTCAGCTGAGGGCAAGGACTTCACCTTCGGCCTCCTGCAGCGAGAGCCGGCCAGACGATTGTCCGCAGAGCAAGCCCTTGCGCATAAATGGCTAAAATATTCGGTGGCAAATCATGAGAGCCTGGTATACTCTATTAACTTCGTCTTTAGCGTCAATTCGCGTCTGGAGTCGATGAGATAGCGCCGATTTAGCGTCGGTTAGCGTAGACTAGCGTCGATGTAGCGTCGATTAGAGTCGATTTAGCGTCGATTAGCGTCGATTCGCAAGAGCCGACAAGATGGTACGGGAGGCCCCCATGAGTTGCCCCCGAACACAGAACGGGGCCCCAGGCAGTATACGGTCGATCATGACGTCGCGGACGCCCTCCGCGCGTTTGGACAGACAACGAAGTTCCGCCGCTGTTGTATGTCGGTGGCGAGCCAGGGGGGGAGATGAGAAGGAGAAGGTCTTCTCAGAAGGCGGCGGCACTTCCTAGACGCCCTCGCGCCTTCCGAGAAGTTTTTTTGTTTTCGGGGAAGGCTTAAAAAACTTCTCAGAAGGCCGGGGGACTTCCGAGCCCTCTGAGAAGGCCCGCCCCTTCTCACTTCCCCCTGGGCTCGCCGCCGAGTATGGAGATGATGGCGTGGTCCCTGTCGAACGAAGAGCGCGCGCAGGTCCGCGACGCGTTCATAGCGATAGACGAAGGTCGGACAGGCACGATCACCCTTCTGGAGTTGAAGAAGGTGTTGCAGGACAAGTTCCATGTGCCCAGCGAGGAGGTTCAGAGCATCTTCCGCGCCCTCGACCAGAACCACGACGACGAGATCCACTACAGCGACTTCCTCGCGGCCATGGTTGGTGCCAGGATCGGCATGCACGACGACCACCTGAGGTCCGCCTTCGCGAAATTTGACGTGGACAACTCCGGATACATCACCAGGGAGAATTTGCGCGAGGTCTTGGGGGACGCGTACGAGGGCGAGACCGTGGACAGCTTGCTCGCCGAGGCGGACTTCCTGAGAGACGGGCGGATATCTTATCCCGAGTTTGTTTCTTTCCTGAAGGGGCAGGCCATTCGGGCAGAGCCCAGGGGGAGTCACCATTGGCAGGGCCGCCACCTCCCGAGGATCGCTGGTCCAGGATCAAGGGGCAGGGAGGATGGCCATGGGGCTCGGACGTCCTTTCGGCTTCTGAGGGATCTTTGGGGATCCTCCTCCCACTCCTTCCAAGAAGCGGGTCGGGAACCCTCCTTCGTGTTGGCCCAGTGGTGGCTCCCCTTGGCACTCCCTGGTCCATGAGCAGCAACGCGGACGCCGTCGCCAAGATCGTGGACAGGGAGCTGGAGAAGTCCAGCGGCGCGTCCAGGCAGGGCTACTTTGGTCTGAGGGCCAAGCTGATGCCGAAGTCCAAGCAGGGTTAGGACTGTTCGGAGAGGGCCTCCCAAATGGGGTGATTCGAGCAAGCGGGGTCGGAGGATCGCACCGCATAGCCGATGCATCGGCGATGCCGCCCAATGTGGAGCCCGATTCCGACGTCGCCGATGCGTCGCCGACGCGGCCGATGCATCGGCAATGCATCGGCGGTGCGGCACGATCGTCCGACCCCACCTTCTCGGACCCCCGCTCGGGAGGCGCTAGCCGACGACGACGACGACAACGACGACCACGACGGCGACGACGACGACGACGACATGGTGGCGTTCCAGAGCGGGCCTCGTCCTCGTCGGCCTCTTGCGGGTCGCCGGCCGGCGGCCGATGTCCTCCTCTTTGCTTCCCTCCGTGCTCTTCCGGGCCCCTTCGCGCGCTCTCCCCCTGCTCCCGCTCCTGCTGTTCCTTCCAACTCCTGCTCCTCCTCCTCCTCCTCCTCCTCCGTTGCGATGCTGGCTCCGGCAATTGAGCGGGCAGCCCGCCGCAGTGGGCGCTCCCGCGTGTCGCGCGCGAGCAGAACGAAGACTTCTTTCTACCGTTTACACCGATGGAGGGCGCTTCTGGCCCTGGCGGCGCTGACAGGCGGTTCCGCCGGCCCCGTGGAGGCCCTCGCGAGCGCCCGCCCTCCGACTAATTACGTCCGGCATCGGTGGCATGAGGATCGCAGCCGCAGTGAAGATTTGGCAATCTTGCGTGCCAGGACAAGCGGCGGCGAGAATGCCAGAATGGAAGGAACAACTGCGAACCTCCTACGTTGCCTCCAGCAACAACCAACAGACAGTGACAACCAGCGACGCTACAACCGCAATCGAGATGGGTCCTCCGGCAGTGCCGCGTCGGCAACGGGGACACCACCGCCGACGGGCGCCCTTCGGTCCCCGAAGTGCAGAGGACCGCGGAGGCCCAGGTGTTCGGAGGCACGCGATCGACACACAGGCTGCGAGCGCAGCGGAACATGCCCCGCTCCTTGGGCGTGCAGACCCGCGGGCTGGCAGGCGCGGCCGCGCGACCGTTTCATGGGCGGCATCCAGTGGACGACGGAGGAGGTGACATGCGCGGGTGTGAACAGTTTGTTATGCCATGCTCGTGCTCAGGTGGTTCGTGGGCAGGCTTGGAGTTGCTGTCCTCGTGGTGCTCGGCCTGCTGTTTATCCTCCTGGCTTTCGGATCTTGCAATGGCATTCTGATGCTCGGGGCCTGGTCTCTGATAAGTATGCGTACTGGGTCGCAGCGCTGGAGGTCCCCATCCTCACCGCCGAGGGCATTGCTGGCGTAGGTGGCTACGCTTACGCTGGTCCCGCTGCAGGCCCCGTGGTCAAAAGCTCGCGTTTTCGCGCGACTCCAGGCCGCACCCACATGAAGAACTCTTACGCCGAATGGTGGGGTGTGACCACCATTTTGCTTGTTCGCTACCGATCTTTGGATCGCAACGGGCCATGCCCGTCGCAGCCCGCTGGTTGTCTCGAGGGAATGCGCGCCCACATGGCTGGCCTGGGTTTAGACGAGAAGGGTGCCTTGTTTGGCAAGAAGACATCGGTGGATCTGGCTACTGCTTGGGCTCAAGAGGTTCTCGTCCTGGAGCACTGTGACGACGAGGCCGTGGACTCCTCCGTCCAGCTGGCGAAGCGATGGTCGGATTGGGCCTCTGCTCGAGCGATGACCGCCGCTCGGGCCAACATCATGGCGTGGATCTGTGTGGCGCCGGAAGCCTGGGCTCGCCCACCGCCATGTCAAGCCTGACCCTCCTCCTGAATGGGAGGGAGTTGGTCCTGACGGTCTGGCTACCAGCCACCCGCAGTTGCTCTTGGGAGGTAAGCGCCAGTGTTGGCCTGAGATCTGGCGCGGGAAGGTCGACACCCCCGAGGGCCTACACTACTGGCTGGATTTGCGTCATGCTGGCGCGCTCGAGGAGTGTCTCCCTCCCTTCGAGCTGGCGCAGCTGGTTTCCACGCTCAAGGCCACGCCTGCGACCAAGGCTCCAGGGGTGGGCACCCTAGGCTCCCAACGGTGTACGTCGGCTACCTGACGTGGGTCGTCGGGGCCTGGTCTGCCTCCTGAATGACGTCGAGCGTGCTGGGGTTTGGCCAGAGGAGATCTCGACTGTCCTGGGCGCCACCATCCCCAGCAGAAGCTGGAGGGCACCGTGCGCTTCGGCCGATGCCGCGCACTGCTAAGCTGCGGAGTCGGCTTCGCACCGCGCCTTAGGCGGCCTGGACGGAGAACCAGAGAGCCTTCCGGGACGCGGCTATTGCAGGGTCTTCCGCTCTTCGCGCGGCCTTGACTAGGGCGGTCCTCGATGAGTGCGCCGAGGAAGCCGGCGTCAGTTTCGCTACTTTGCTTCTCGACCTGCAGAAGTTCTATGATTCGATCAGCTTCGCGCCGTTGATGATGGCCAGCCGCGCTCTGCACCACCCTGCCACCATCGCGGCGCTGGAGGTTGGGATGCACGCGGCGCCCCGCCTCATCAAGCGCGGCACGCTGGTCAGCTCAGCCTTGGGGCCTGGCAAGTCTATCGCGGCTGGCTCCCCGCGCGGGGCGGACGTGGCTAAGGCGATGCTGCGCGGCCTCCTCCAGGAGGCGCACGTTGCCATCCCTCGCGCTGGCTTGTGGACCTACATCGATGATGCTGTTTGTCGCGCAGAAGGCGCCCGTGCCGCGGCGAGCGGCGATCTGATGCTAGCTGCCCACTCCTTGGCGCCCCCGTTCCGCGCCAACCGCCTCGCCGCCCCTGGCGAGACGAGTCTGGTGGCCAGTGGCGACGCTCTCGGGGGGGGGGGGGGGGGCTTGCCACCGTGCTGCGCGAGCTGGATGCCCCCGTGGTCTCGGCGGCCCCCGCGGTCGACTTGGGCGCGGATGCGGCTGGCGCAAGACGGCGCGCGCGCCAAGTTCCGCGCCCGCGTGGCTCGCGCTGCTCCCCGCCGCGCCAAGGTCCAGAAGCTGCGGCGGCTTGCTGGCGGCCGCCAGGTCGCTAAGGGCCTGCGGCGTGCAGGCGCGCTCCCGTCTGCGACATTCGGGGGGCCGTGCCGCGGGCGCCCCGCGGCCTGCCGACAGCGCCGCCGGCGACCCTGGGCTCGACTGACCCGTCCCTTCAGCTTCGGCGGGGTGCTCTCATTGAGTGGTTTCGGATGTGGCTTTCTCATCCGTTCGTGCATGCCCGCGCCGCCCGTCTTTGGCCTCGCGCGCGCGCTGGGCTGGGTGATCGCGTTCGATGGCGCGGAGTTCGGGTGCCCATTGCTGTCCTCCAGGCCACCCTGTTGCAGGTTGGCTTGGGCCCCCTGGAGCCGACCCGTTGGCGCCGTGCTGGCGCTGAGGGGCCCGGGGGCTATGCGTTTCCCTCTTTTGGCGACGCGGGTTTCAGCGACACCGCCCTCGAGGATTTCAGCGATCTCATGGCTGACTTTTTCAAGGGTTGCCGCGATGCAGCTTGGAAAGAGGCCTCGCGACATCGTGGCGGTGAGCAATTCGGTCAAGGGGCCGACCTCCATGTCGCGCAGCGCGAATTGGACTCCTATGCCACAAAGGGCGACGTGGACCTGATCTCGGGGGGCCAGTGGACGCAGCAGAGGCAGCGCGACTCGGGCTATGAGGCGGGCCGCCTCTGCCCTCGTTGCTGCGCTGCGCCCGAGACGCTGCGGCGCCGCATCTGGGAGTGCGTGGAAACTTGTTCTCGCCCCGCAGGCTCTTGCTAATGCTGACGCTGGTCCATCCTTCTGGCTGAGGGGCCTTCCGCCTGTCGCTCGCTGCGCCCCAGTTCGTGGAGCGCCCTGGAGTTGGAGACCTTGTTCCCCGGGCAGTGCCTGCATAAGGTGCTCCCGGCATCTCCTGGGCACCCGCTCTCGTGTCTGTTTGGGGGCGGATCAGGGGGGGGGGGGGGGGCGAGTTCCGACGGGCGTCGACGCCGCTGCGGCGCAGCGGTGGCGGTCATGCGGCGTGCTTTGGACGGGGGCCCTCCTGACAGCACGTGGCCCCCCGTCTGCGGCGTGGCCGCCTGCCTCTCAGGGCGCCGTCAGACTGCGCCCCGATCAGAGCTCCTCGCAGTGGCCCTGGGTCTCGAGCACTCCGCTGGGGCTATCTTTTATGTTTGCGATTGTAAGCCTGTGGTTGATGGTTGGAGGTCTGGCCGCGCGCAGCGGCCCTTCGGCCCCAGCGCGGATCGTTGGGTCCGCGCGTGGCAGGCTCCGCAAAATCGGGGCCCTGGGACCGTCGAGGTCGTCTGGACTGCCTCCCATCTGGGGGCCGAGCCTGATCGTGCCACCCCTCCCTTTTCAAGCCTTCCTCTCTCATAGCAATGCCTGCGCCGATGTCTGGGCGGGGTGGGCGGCGAGGAGGGGGTGGGATTCGCCGGTCTGCTAGCCGATCCCTTGTGCCGGTCGCTGGGGCGTCGCTGCCTTTCTGGCGCGGAGGCGCGCTAGACGCGCCCTGATTGATAGCGTGGAGGCCGCCCCAGAGTTTGGTCCCAGGGCCCCCGTCATCAGGGCCAAGCCCAAGTTTGCCCTCATCCGTGCGCTTGGCTCCTCGCCGCATCGCCTCGCGAGGTGCAGCAATCGTTGGATGTGCGAGCTCTGTCGGGTTATTGTTGCCAGGGCTAGGCTCCTGACGTTTGCGGCCGCGCCCTGTCTGGCCCCTGGGCCAGGCGTCGCTGACCCGTCTCCTCCCGCGCTGACCCGTCTCCTCCCGCCTCGGCCCCCGCGGCGCAGTTCTTCGGTGACGGATTCTTTGCGGTGGGCGGGCGTTGCGAGGTTGGGGGCGTGGCCCTTCATTCCTTTCACGGTCTGCCGGAATGGCCCCGCTTTGGCCTGCAGTTCTGTGCACATTGTGGCTTCGCTGCGACGATGGTCGGCCGCAATCTCTCGAGGCCCTGCCTGCCGCCCTCTCGCAAGGGCATCGAGAATCTGTCTCGTATTTCGCGAGGGCCGTTTGCCTCGTATCGCGGGCCTCCTGCGTCGGTCAAGGTAGCCGAGGTTTCGGCCCAGTGTGCCCGTGACCAGCGAGAGAGCGTGCAGGCCTGTGATGCGCATGTGCCTGTGGAGTTGGATGAGTACCTGAGGTGCGCCGCCCTTCCCCAACGTGACTTTGCGCCCCCCGACCCCCCGCGCGCGGGGACTCAGAGGGGGCCCCGATTTTGTGCCTGCCCCCGGGTTTGACGTTGCCCCCGCCACCCCGCCCGCGGGCGTGAGGATGAGAGGCGTGGAGGAGGCGTGCGTGGAGAGGCGCGGGGGCCGCCCGGTCGCCCCTGGGAAGGGCCTCTCCACCGCCCCCCCCCCTCCTCCTCCCGCTCTTCCGATTAAGCGCCACCTGCGTGGAGTAACTCCGTAACTCCGCAACCCTGCCGGGACCGCCGCCCCCTTCCGGCGGGCAAGGGATCCCACAGTCAGGTGAAACTTGCTGGTAGTGCAAATTCTTTACGCTTCGCGTATTCCCACCAGCCTACCGTGTCCCGGAGCCCTTCTGAGCCCGCCAGCGTCTTCGCTAGTGGACGCGACCGAAAAAAGTGTTCCCACCAGCCAACGGCTGGTAGACAGGAGGTAAGCGTGGCGGCGACCACAACGGCGACGGGAGAGGCGACAAACGCTCCCGCACATGGCGGTGATCCATTTGTTATTCGGCAAGCCTGTGGCCTTCAGCCACTTCCTGGTAGCGTTTTCTGCCTCCCTCTTCTCCTCCTGTGTCACCTTAGAGCACGCGGCCTTCAGCCGCTTTCCTGGGCTCCTCCAATCTCCTGCAGCGCCCGCTGCCCCCCGCCCTTGGGACCCTGGCAGCTGCCTGCTGACGATGCCGACGCGTGGACTGCCGCCGGGGCCGTGGTCCACTTGTTCTAGTTGACCCCTGGCCCGCTGTATTTGTTTTCGCCGCACCTCGGCGCCCTTCGCTCCTCGCGCCGCAGCTGCTCTAGGTTGAAACTCCAGGGGATGGCCAGTCAGTGGCAAATGGTGCAGGTTCGTCCTGTGGGATTTCGGAGCATCTAGATGCCACAGAAGTACCTCGTAGAGCTCTTCGGCATCGATGACTAGAGGAATTTCGGCGGGGTGGAGGTAGTTGGCCCACCCGGCCGGGGCGGACAAAGTGGTGACTCTTTGGGCAGTTGCCCCGCGCCGAGCTGCTCCGCCCCCCGCGCAGAGACGGCGCTGCCGCGCTCCGCTCTGGCCCTTTCTCCCTTCGGCCCCCCCATCGCCAGCCGGGCGCTCCCAGTTCGCTTCTGGCGCACGCCGCGCTCGTGCAGCTGTCCTGGGTGAGGTGCTTAGCCCTGCGATCGGCAGTTCACTTGGCAGTTCTCTGCGTGCTGCCTTCCGCTCAGGCGTTCAACGTCGACCTTGTCCATCGTTTTCCTGGTTGGCAGCATCAGGCGCGTGGCCGATCCGTTCAGGATTTCGGTGTCGACCCCTTCACCGTTTTCCTGGCTGGCTCTTCCTTTCCGTCTCGGAGAAGGGATTGTCCCGGATCTTTTCTCTCAGGAATGAGTGTGGGACTTCGGTGGCGCCACTCGTACTGGTTCTTGGTCAGTGACGTATTCCTGGCCATCGTTGTTAGCATTACCTCCTGGAGTGCATTGCAAGCGAGCTGCCTCCTTCAGGGCCTGGGTGCATGGATGTCTCGTGTGGTTTATCCTGCGTCTAGTCCTCGCCCTCAGCGGCTGGCCTCAGCGGCCACTTGTCAGCGTTTTGTGCGACTTTGGTGGCGCCACTTCCATGCACTAGTTTCCTGGTCAGTGAATTCTTCCTGGCCTAGCTGGTGTCTGCGGTCCTTCGTGATGGTGCTCCTGGATTCATCCTGGTATCGCTCACGTGCCATTCTGGCTGCGCCCCAACCTTGGTTGGCTAATTATGCATGCGGTCGCTCCTGGACCTGTTTCTTGGCAGCTGCAGCCCGCGCCACCTGTCGCTTCCGGTCCGCTTAGGTGCCGCTCAGGCCTCCGGTTTGCCGGCGCGTTCGGCAATGAGGTTCGCGCGTAGCCCGCTGATCCCGTTTGATGCCGCCTGCGCCTTCGCTTGCGGCTGCGACAAAAAAAGTATTCCCACCAGCCAATTCGGAAACCCTGCCCATGAGAGTTGACGGGAAAAGGGACCAAGAGACAGGCATAGTGAAACAGAGCGGGCAACCAGGAACGAACGTTTCGCCCGAGACATCCTCAAGCAATCATGCAAAACAAGCGTTTCGTTCGAGAGGTCCGCAACGGACGCAAATGCTTACTTTCCATGTGTTTTATTTAACGGAGTTTGACAAACCAGCGCTTCGCTCGGGACACCCTCAAAATCAGATTCGCCGGCCCTCTTCGGCTTCGTTATTTATCACAGACGATTTGCACCGGCCCACGTACGCTGCCACGCCACTGTCCATGACCATCGCAAGCTTCCGCAGGATGAAGGAGGGAACAAGGGAAGGAGAGGAAGGGGGAGGAACGGGCCAGGGTGGTGCTGAGTGGATATCCCCTGCGGCTCAATTGGCCACTTGTTTTCAAGTGGCATGCGCCAGGCTGGTGTTTGCATCCTTTCGCCGTCGCGATTGATCAACGCCGACGGTCCGACGCGTGTAAGCACGTTTGAAGCATCTGTTGAAGCGCTCACAAGCCGCAGTTTCGTCGAGGCGCTCACAAGCCGCAGTTTTCGTCGAACCGAACGGGTTTGGCCGCGCACTGTTCCTTGGATGAGTCAGGGGGCGCGAGCGGGAACGAGCAATCATGTCGGTCGTGACCCCCACTAGCTGTGGCCGTGTCCCCCTCCCCCGAGGTCCAAGATTCCATTCGGGGGGTGTGGGGGGAGGGACGAAATCGCCAACGCAACTCCAAGGCCCCCGAAGCATCCAACCCACCCTCCACGGCCATTGAGATGCCCGAGATGCTTGAGAAGGTGGCTCCAGAAAAGGCCCTCACGCGCAGGAGAAACCTCAAGAGCACCTAAGATGGCCCCCAAAACGACCCAAGACTCCCCCAGGGCGCCCCAACAGGGTCCCAAGAGGACCCCCGAGAGAGCCTTAAGAGTCGAACGTCATTGATTTCCAATTGGTGTTTTCATGATTGTGCGCTCTCCCTGTTCAGGCTTCTGAAAATCCAATGCGGCCCGAAGGGCCCCCCGAGGACAGCCCAAGAACCCCCAGGAGGCCCCCAAGAGAGCATAGAGACGGACGGAGAGGGCCCCAAGGCGGCCCAAGAGGCTCCCTAGAAGGCAACAGACAAAAACTCAAGAGGGCCTCAACAGTGCTCAAAAGAGACCCGAGAGGGGAGGGGACTCGCAGGGACCTTGAGAACACCCCGCCACCAGATGACCCCAAAGACCCCCAACATTCCCCCAAGACCCCCTAAGAGTACCCCCAAAGGCCCCCTTTATGAGCTTTGAAAAAGGCTCCAAAAGGCCGCCCCCTGGGCCTCGAAGAGGCTCCCAAGAAGCCCGCCCAGCGGACGCGGAGGAAGAGTAATAATAATCAGCAACATCTACACGCAGGCAGCACGTCGGGAAATACCAAACAATTCATGCGACCTCGGAAACCGCACAACCTTTTTTTTGTCTGGGGGTCGGCGGAAGGGAAAACGCCTTGTGAATCATATTTCAAAAACCGCAGGCAAATAACTGATGTTCGACTTCTCGCCAATTCGCTCCCGATGTGCTTTGAGGCCTCAAGATGGCCCCAAGATGGCCCAAGAGAGGCCCAAGAGAGACCCACTAGGCCTCCCCAGACGGCCCCACGAGCGCCCAAGATCGCCCCACGAGCGCCTCAAGATCGCCCCAGGAGGTGATTTGGATGGCCATGCCTCCTCCTCCCCCCCCTCCTCCTTCCCCCCTCCTTCCTTCTCCTTCTTTCTCATTCCTTCTAGTGTGCAGTTTATGTCATGCCTGTCTGAACGCAGTTCTCTCTGTCTTATTTTCCACGTTGGCGCGAAGCATTTTCCAGTGCACCTGGTCACTGGGACTGCGTGTCCCATACGCCTGCCCTCTGAGAGGACCGCCCCATAGGGGCTGGAATGCGGGTCGCATCGCATCGTATCGCATCGCAGGGGGGGGTAGCAAACGTTGCGACTCCCTCTCCTTTCACCGACGCTCCCCACGGTAGCCCCAAGAGGCCCTCCAGGGCTCCCAACAGGCCCCGAAGAGAACCCCAAGAGGGCCCCAAGAGGTAGGGCATCCGATGCTCCAAGGTTGTCTCCAAGATGGCTCAAGATTGCCGACGATGGTTCAAGATAGCTCCTGACGAGGGCCACAAGACGGTTCCACGTGCCCCTTGAGCCCTCCCCAGGACCCCCCCCGAAGCAACCCAAATCTTTCAAACACCAGCGGAAAATCAATGATGTTCGACTTCTCGCCGTTTCGCTTCCGACGCGCTTTTGAGGCCTCAAGATGGCTTCAATATTGCCCTTGAGGGGCCCAAGAGGGACCCAAGAGGTCCTCCAGACGGCCTCAAGAGCGCCCAAGATCGCCCCAAGAGCGCCCCAAGAGTGCCCCAGGAGGCGATTTGGATGGCCCCAGGGGGGGGGGGTAGCAAACGTTACGACCCCCTCTCCTTTCACCGACGCCCTCCACGGTTGCCCCAAGAGGCCCTCCAGGGCATAGTTTCAGGTCTCAGCGAAGTCTTGTCGACCTTTGATGCGCAGCGCTTCGAGGTTGATGGAGTGCTTTCGTCGCTGCGTCTCATACTTCCCCGCAAGTTTCGTGGGGATATGGTTTTCTTCCCTGCCGTGTCGCACCCGCGTCTCCCGCAACACACACACACATCCCTCCCTCCTCCCTCCTTCCCGCCTCCTCCTTCCTCCCCTCACCTATGCGAAACACATGCACGACACGTACATGAGACACGCGTCTACATACAGCCACACCCATGCAGACACGCACACATCACACAACACTAGTGCACATTTGGCGTGTTCACTGCATCATGCACCTAAGACGCATGCACCACATCCTGGGCACCCACATGAGACAGACGTCCACATACAGCCTTACACAGATCTTACACATACGCATGACACACCGACGCAGACCTAGTCACTCTCGTGCACTCACAGCGCGGTCTCTATACGCTACAGGCTCGCAGGGCACGGCAGGCGAGGCA